CACCCCAGCTGCTCTTATAGCCAACTGAGTTCTCTTATCTCTTTCAGATCACTCCAAACGTAACTTAGTTTTCATATGAAAATTACATGATGTTTTGAGGATGCTGATGGGTTAACAATGGGGATCAATGATGGGACTGAAAAGCAACGAGGCATCCATCAGACCAGACCCAGATTAACACAATGACTGTTTTCTGGGATTTCACTTGCTCATGTTTTCTCTGCGATCCCCAGTGGATATGAACACATCCCAAAACCACTATCATAAATGTGACTGACTGATGAGCTTCTGAAAAAAGCCAAGACCTGAGAAGGCATAAGAATACAGCTCAGTCATGGGCATCAACGTAAGGAATACATTAATCCAGAAGTAAAAGATAATAATAATAGTACTGTAACTACGATGATCTCAATATAAGCGCAAAGCAGGATTTGGAGGGAAAGGCTGTTTTTTTTGTTTTCTTTTAAAAAAAAATGCAATCAGCTAATGAAGTTAGGAAATACAGATAAGATTTTGGATACACATGACAAGATTTAATGAAGGGTTTACGCTGCCTGAAACCCTTGCCAAATTAAATGACTGGTCAGTTGATACCTAACTGAAGCAACCAAATATCAGACAAAAAATAATATTATCTCTTTTCAGTTGGAGTGGCTAACCACAATATTAGGTCCATATGTTGCTCCAAGATGAAGAAAAATGGTGGTGAAGCCATGTATCTTTATTTACTCATCAGGAACGTAATGAGTCCTGTTTCCCTAAATGCAGCAGAAATAAAAATGAGGAAATGGAACATTTTATACTTTCCCTTTTTTTACAGCTCCAAGTCCATTTCAGACGGAGCTCAACCCAAAAATGGTTGAGATGTGTCCCCACCTCACCCTCCCCTATCCATGCAGCTCCCTGCTTACTGTTTCACTGTTACTCTTATGGCTCTTTTTACTGGCGCACGGACCTTTGCAGAACAGTAGCAAGTAAAATCTGTCCATCACGAGAGCCCTGACTGTGTCCGTATTTGAGCATATTTCTTACCGCCTCCCAGAAACCATGACAGTAATTTAAAGCACGATCAAGTCCCTCCCTGAAAATAAAGGGAAGACCAGCAGAAGCTGGTCATGATACAAACCCCACTTTACTGTTGCCTGATCACACACTGTGAAGTGCCAGCACAGATAGATACCATTTCAATGCAGCTGTGACACTACAATTTAAAGGTGTCTTTCCACGTCCTGTTAATCCGCTTATGGAATTATTCCATACAGCATACATGGAGGCTAGACCTACCTGCAAAAGGAGCTTAATAATGTATATGTTATGGAAACAGAGATTTTTATGAAAGTGTTTAACTGGCACTTCTGAAAATCCTGTTTTACCCTTCAGCATAAATGACATAACTAAAACTCAGACATCAAGCCTATTGCAGAACTGGAAATCAATCTGAACTAATTTCCTACCTGAGTGCCTTAATCTCCAAAAAAGGCTTCCTATTTCACCTTCAACCAGTCTTTCAAAAATTATGTTCTTCTTAATTAATATTTAATTATATAGAAAAAAGTACTATAAAGAAGAGCCATACAGAGATTTTCAAATATGGATATGGAGAAGGTTGAGGTCCTCAATGACTTTTTTGCCTGTCTTCACCAGCAAGTGCTCTAGCCATACCACCCAAGCAGAAGGCAAAGGCAGGGACTGGGAGAATGAAGAACTGCCCACTGTAGGAGAAGATCAGGTTCAAGACCATCTAAGGAACCTGAAGGCGCACAAGTTCATGGGGCCTGATGAGATGCATCTGTGGGTCCATCCATCATATTTGAGAAGTCATGGCAGTCCAGTGAAGTTCCCCCTGACTGGAAAAGGGGAAACATAACCCCCTTTTTTAGAAAGGGAAAAAAGGAAGACCCAGGGAACTACAGGCCAGTCAGCCTCACCTCTGTGTCCAGCAAGATCATGGAGCAGATCCTCCTGGAAACTATGCTAAGGCACATGGAAAATAACTAGTGGAAGGTGTCCCTGCCCATGGCAGGGGGGCTGGAACCAGATGATCCTTAAGGTCCCTTCCAACCCAGACTATTCTATGATTCTATGAAATATATTTTTTTCTGCACAAGCAACAGAGCAAATTTATGACAACTTCAGTTTTCATGTATCACAAAAGTAAATGAAACCCACACAGGTTGGTAAAAATCCAGTATGTTTTGTCAGGTGCTGCTAGCTAAATTACATTGACCTGAAGGAAAGGAAATACTGTGGAGTACCAGTTTCTATTTGAAGCTTGTATAACTAATGCTAAAGAAACTTTAATGACCACCTAACAGTCATTCAACTATAACAAATACACATTCCAAATGAAGATAACTGCAATTGAAATCCAGTAACTGCAGTTTGGGAACTCATCTCATCAATCAAATTTTACAACCCCACATCACATCTGATAATCCAAAAAACTTAATTCGTAAGAGAAATGAAACAATACAACCCTACCAAAATAAATGTATCCATAACACATAATAAATGTAGCAGCCAATCATGACTAGACATATTTTCAAGTTATTTATGTACCTAATTGTCTTCCTATGACTTAATTGAGTACTGGCATGTTAACAGAAGCATGATAATAAGTTTGAGCTTCTGCTGCTTTTTATTTACTACCTTATATGTATTTTTTCACCTCAGGTAGCTAGCCAGTATTAACTGGGACTCGCAGCTGTACTGGCTGTGAAATGATGGAAGAGTCAACAAATCTCCATATCATGGATATCAAAGTAAGGATATACTCAAAAATGTAGTCTTAAATGTTTTGCTTGATGAAATTATAAATTATTTAAGTTATGAGGATTTTAGTACTTTTCTAGAAAACCAATCTCATGTTGATACTATTTAACTACCCTAACAGCTTCTTCCATAGGCTTTAAACATCTATAGACAGGTATCTTTCCGCTCAACCCACAGTTTCTTTATCAAGCTTATAGTCAACTCCACTAAAGACAGCACTGAAGTTCTTGTTATAAGACATGTAATATTTATTCAAGGTAATACACAGAAGGAAATAAACTCCATAAAATCTCAGAGCCTCAGGTTCCCTTTTCCACAAAGTAGAGCAGTAGTTACTTCATAAGCAGGCTGGCAGTGGGCAGAGAACCTTGAATAGCAAATCAACACTGTGTAAGTGCTCCAACTTAGCACTTGTCTAAATAACTCTAGAAACTTTTACAAAGATTATATGTGTTCCTAGAGCAATGAAAAAGCACTCTTTTATTTACTGGAATCAATTAATTGAAGTGTGGCTGTGATAGGAAAGCAATTAGAAGTGTCCACAATGCAGAAAGATTGAATGAAACTGCCTCTGTTGTGATAACACAGAAATTAGAAAGAAATTCTAGCATAAAAATACTAAAGCTGCACAGTCATTGGACCAAGTGAGGAAAACATTCAAACACATGTCTAAACCCACTCCTTTTCGGAGGCGTCTACATTATTTTCCTTAAGAGACTCAAGCTCATGCTTAAGCGCTTTCCTCAGTTGGAATCAATGCATATTATACCATATTTATTATTTTGGGATAACAAAATTACTTTGGGATTCAAGTAATATTGTAAGACAGAAGTATCAAAGATCCCTGGCCTTTATGATAGTTTCTGAATAAAAAATCCCCCCCCAAACTCTGAGAGTCAGGACCATTAGAAGTTTCAATGGAAACTTTCTCTCTGTGTGAGAGTTGCAAATAACCATTTCCGGTACCCTGAATCTGGAACCAATAAACAGAAAGACCACTGAAACAATTTAGGTCTCTTTCATTCATTTTTGATGCTTTACATATAGTATATTTAATAAATTTGAGATTCGACTAAATTCTTTGATTTCTAGCCAATACCTTGGCAAAATTTCCATTCATCTCAGGGAAAAGTAAAATATATTCAGTGCAGAAATGGCAAATTACTTATGACTGCATGAATTAGATCTCAAAACTTTTTGCAGAAGATACACCATCAGTAGCAGATAATACTGCATATTTTAGGCTACTGTCACCTAGGCTACATTTGACAGGAAAGAAAATATACTCAGCATTTGCCTATAATGATTTTTTATTGCTATGCAATAATATCTAATGCCTTCCAGATGCATTCAGGACAATTTGTTCATTTCACTCAGTAATCAAAATGTGTTTTGACTAGTAAGTCCCTATTTAGTTTTTTCTGTAATCATTTTTCTTAATGGGAGTATTTTCCAGATGTGTTAGTCTAGTCATCTGGGACCTCTTCCAACTCATGTGGAAAGTTTGCTGTCATAAGCTGTCATTGGCGGTTTTGTTTAACAAGCTAATTAGTTAACCCCAGCATAGTTATAAAGCAATATATAAGGCACTGAAACATCACTGAGAGCAGACATATTCTTTGTTAGGTAAGTGTAATACCTACCTCTACTCAAGAGAGTAGAGTGTTTTGATCAAAGTGCTCTTCTTCAAAAGGAAAGTGATGAACTGGAACAGAAAAAAACAGACAAGTTTTCTTTTTGAAAGAAGATTTACTTTTATCCTGCATTTCCATCTGACATATTTAAACACTAATATTTCAATGATAGGCAACATAATTTTATAAACCATAATCTAATAAGTAATGTTTTGACAGTATTTTTTTTTACTTTACATTTATCAGTATTATAACCTTAGAAACTGTTGTACTAAAGTGCATCCACATTAAAAGAAGACTGTGACTGTAGTTTACATGTAATAGAATTCTGCAAAAAATTACTTCCGTTATTTGTTAATAATGAATTTTCCTAGTCTTACTACAAAATTTAACAGCTAATCAACTAATAACCAAAGGAGAATTTATGGAGTAATACTAAATTAGCAATTTGTCCTTGAATAATTTTAGTATTAATTTTATGTTGTTATTAAACTAGTATTATGTATAAAGATATGCACTGCAATTTATTTTTTTTTAATTATGAACTGATTAATTGAATTGCATGTAGTGATGTGAGATTATTTCTTTTTAGGGATGATGTCGCACCTGAAAGTAATGGTCATATGGAAAATACTTTGCGTATTCCTGGTGATCCTTTCACTGTCCTTGATTCAAGAAGTGTCTTCTGAAGGTACTGTAACATACAAAGTTGAAGGGAGGGTGTCTAGGATATCTGACAAATAGTAAGAATGCTTCAAATGCATCTTCATAAAAATACTAAGTTCTAGAGTTTTATATTTATTCAGACAGGCATTATGATTCAGTTTTATCATCACTGAATATTTTCATAAATATATTTTGGTACAGCATGGTCCTCTTTTTTTGAGCAATAACATAAATATGAATATCATGCAAAATGTGCACGAACCTACTTCTTTTTCTGTAGACATATTCTACAGATCCTGTTGCCGTCAGACTGACGTATTTAGCCCAAGTGATTTGCAGTATGATTCAAGGAAGAATCTAAAATTACAATATCCACATAATTTGGTTAGAAATATTTAAATACAGTGGGCTCAGCGAAAGGTATGTCTATACCGTGCTAAGTGCTTTGCCATTAAATGCAGTTATTACCACCACTGAGGCCAATTTTGGCAATTATTTGTCTAATACTACAGACTTATTTACTCTCAAAGCTCTGCAATTGATTTCTAGCTAAAGAAGCACCGTTATGAAGAAATAGAAGAACTTGCAGCCTGGGAAGTCCTGTGCTGTCACAGTTCTCAAGTAGCTATAAAGTTGTTATAGGGATAACATTGTGCATTACTTGTTGGTAGAAAATAATTTATTACTACTTGATAGTAGAAGACATAAGATTTGTATATCTGAGCAGCTCATCAGGGCACAGCTGATGTCACATTTGACCTGCAGGGCAGAGCAATGTGACACCACACCCTCTGCAGTTGATGGAAGCCTTCCCGCTATTTTCACCAAAAATCAAGACTCTTGCCAACAGCAACTAGAACCATTTAGGCATTTTCCTTAGAAGTAACTTCATAACTTACAAGTCATAAACGTAAAACAAATAAATGAAAGAAAAGGTGTTACTTTTTGGAGTTGTATATATTTTCTTCCCATAAGGGAAAAAAGGTGCAATATATTGGGCACATACCCATAAACGAAGATGCCTACCTTCTCTTTTCAACTCCCCTATTAAAAGCCCATTAACTCAAGTCCATTAACTTCTCCATTTATTCCCTAGTCCCGCTTCATTATTTGTGAAGAAGTGGTAATAAACATTATACCTAACTGCTGAAAATCACAATATATAGAAGTATTTGTTATCCCATGGTCTTCCTTCATACACACACCTGAAGTGTGTGCTGTTAGAAATTGTCTTTGGTGTTGTGTTGTGTTATATGTTATTTCTTGTTATTTTCTTGTTGTTCCTCAATGTTTCAGCTGATTATCTTAACTCTGTTTTAGCTCGCTGACTGTTCAGCTTCTTTGTTTGTATTCAGGGGCGCTTCACTTGTGGTCCTGCATGTTTCATTTCCAGAAGAAGCTGTTAGCATGTTAGCAGAGATTTCATGTAGGAAGGGGAGTTGTTCCAGGGTGAATATGTGATCTGGCAGAAGGTAACAAACCGCTGCCAAGCTTGAATGCGTGCAGTTTGAAAGCAGACCTCCCGACCTCTTGTTTACCACCTGTAACCTGCACCATTTATTATTATCTAGCATTTTCCAACACTACAGCAGTCTAGCAGTAAAGCCACTGTGGGATGAGCTTTTATGTTATTCTGCTAATAAGTAATCTCCTAATTATCAAACAGAAAGTACTTTACAGAAGATTGCAGGACTAGATCCCAACTGTTCTAACCTCAGAGTTGATACCAAATTCCTCTCTGACCTCAGGGAAAAAAACTAATGTAGAGGGCAGGCAGATTTTGAAAACTGCCAATAAAAATGGCTTTGGGGACCGGTATTAATTGACAGTGCTCACCAGTTTGCAAGCTAAACCGATTTTATTTTGTTATTATGTAGAACATTACAAAAAGTACAATGAGTCTGTCACGTGCAGGCACACATCTCTAACCATACGGAGGGTGAATTAAGATGGAGAATAAGTCTGCAAAACAATACAGTGCCTAGCTGATATGCTGCTTAAGATAAATCTGCATGGGCTAGTTTGGATGCCAGAACTGGTGTTGTCATATTACTGAACCAGTCCTCAGGGATTCATTCATCTTCAGGAGAAACAGGATAAGTTAGCCCCTAACCTGAGCACGCTGCTGCCGGTCCTCAGGCTGGCTCAGAGCAAACCTCTGATCCACATACCTTTACAAAGGGTTGCACCAGGTCCACAGGTTTTGCAATACTGAGTGAAGAAATGGCATCCTGTAGAAAAAAAGATAAATCTTACTACTTTGCCATTCAGCATTTCCTTATGTACCGTTTTGGTTTGGCAATGTTTATACCAGTGTTGTGTGATTTTAGATTTATCAAGCTGTACAGGGAGATGTGGGGAAGGGTACTCTAGAGAGCATGACTGCCACTGTGATTTTAACTGTCAACACTACATGGAGTGCTGCCCTGACTTCAAGAAAGTCTGCACAGTGGGTAAGTTCCCAAACACAGCCAGTTCCTATTGGCAAGACTTCCCCTCCCATTTGCTCCAACTCCCTACCACACCAGTGTCTCTCCTCTGAATGCTTAAATGTCTGTTTTAGTTCGCTGTGTCCTTGTTCTCCTCTCATACATGTACTGTTCTCCCTGTCAAAAACTCAGTGATAACCTCTCGCAACCCATTCAAAGAAAATTATGTACCCACAGGTTATCACAAAGAAAAGGATTTTGCTTTTCAGAAGAGCAGAGCTAGGCAAGAGGGGGAGGAAACAGTTTACCTATTGCTTGTTTTCTTCTCCTTAGTGCATTTGTACTACATCTGTTTGTCTCTTATACAAAAAATGGATAAAAGCAAATTCAGGGTTTTCCAGGAAGAAATTCTGGGACATTCCAACTCAAGTTTAAGAGATGTGGAGGCGGTAGGGTCTAATCCAAAGTCAGAGGGACTTTTTCTGTACTTCCACAGACAGAATTGACTCTGGATCAGAAGCATGTCCAGAGTTTGATGGAAAAGATAGTTGGATTAGTATTATTTTATATGCTTTATTTATATGCAAAACTGTATAGTGTAAATAAATACAGGTATTTCAAACTGGTTTACTGAGAGTTAAAAAATATTTTCTGATGAATCACCAATGTCAAAAATATCAGTGATTTAGATAACGGCAGTTTGTTACACTACACTGTAATTCTAGTAAGATTATAGGTGTAAGATGAGACTTCTTAGATCCAGCAACACAGGCTGAGTGTTGTTCAAAACGCAGATGCAGCACCCCCTAAAATGCTAATTCTGCCACTCTGACATGCACACTGGAAACACTCGCGCTTCAGTCTTCCCCATCCTGATTTTGATTTGCGAGGGAACATCAGCATTTTGAATAACTGAAAGTACAGACTGAGGCATTTTAATTATGTAGGCTATTTATTTATTGTGGGCCGGATTCTAAAGCTATTCTGGCATCTGCGTAACATTTAATAAAATTTTTAAGGCTAGAGGAAGTCTTCCATGTTCTACCCTAAATCACTGAATGAAGCACAGTAGACACCATCCTTACAGGATGCAAGCAGTCTGGCTAAGGACTGTTGCCCAGTTAGTGTGATTGATACTGACTACATTAGAGAAATGCCACACATTGTTTATGAATAAAAACTGCCCTGGTGTCGTAAAATAAAAACAATTCTTACCTATGCATGTGGGATGAATCCACTGGCATCAACAGACTCACTCCATATCTACACTGGTCAAAAGGTATTCAGAACCTGCCTATACAGTAATCCTAATTTTGCTAGATTATTATTTAATTGTAAAATATGATTTTATGCCCTGCATGCCACAAAGACAATGACTTCAATAGAGACTTATGTACAGAAAAGGTACAGGATAAGAATAACAGATCATATGGTAAATTCTGGAAATACCAAGTAATAGTTAATTGTTGGGTCCATTCTGTGAGATGCTAAGCATCCTCAAAAAATACCTACTTCAGGTCTAACATAATCACTTCAATTTAACAGTTAACTAAGTACCTATTAAAGGTACTACTGAATGTTAATAAATATTAGATTGTAATGTAATGTAAAAGTTTAGGGTCAAATTTTGTCCTTGACAAATACAGCAAGCATGTTTTGCTGAAGTCTGTAATAGCTGTAATAGCACTTTCCAAAACAATTTGGTCATTATTTGATATGAAACAGAAGTACTATAGTAACTGAAGTTATCAGCAGTTAACCAATAATGAATTATTAAAAGCATGCGGTTATTAGTCATGTCAAAACATGGTAGATACTCCTTTAGTACTAATAATTTGAGAACTGTATTAAATAGACTGGGATAACATTTCAAAAATAGTCACTTTGTGTAACTTCATTAACTCATTCACACAATTAACTTGCAGTATTTGCTCAGGGACACCAGGTACACTTGGTCATGACCTATTTAGGCAAATTCTTTTTCAGAACTGCTCTGGTAGACACATCACTCTTGATGCAGAGTGGTACCCTGATAAACACCTTTTTGAAAACCCAACCCAGAATTTAAATACTATTCTTGAGATAACTGCTATTTGATTAGGGAAATGGAAGCCTTCTATGATGGGACCTAGCTAAAGTGAACTCTGAGGTCACATTTTATTCCACTATAAATTCTAAATGGTCTCAATATACTGCAATGGCAAAGTGCAGTTCTGGCTGTATGGCCTGATTCAAAACACACAATTACAAAAACAAGTTGTGGATCAGACTAGAATAACTACCTGATTTTTATGAAGCTGTTCTTCACATCAGCTTAAGCAAATGACTTCACTGTAGAAAGGTCCCAATGTTAAATGTGAGCTAGCCAAAAATACTAATTCTCTTGTTCTGCCTTATGCAGCAGTCTCCTGCAGAGGACGTTGCTTTGAAGCCTTTGAAAGAGGAAGAGAGTGTGACTGTGACATGGAGTGTGAAAGATATGGCAAATGTTGCCCAGATTATGCAAAACACTGTAAAGAGGGTAAGAAGTTTCTTTATCACTATATTTTCCCTAGATGTAATAATTTAAATATAGATGCTTTGTGTTATCATAAAACATTAGACTGTGCAGGCTTTGTTGTTGATGCTACTCGCATTAGTTCTGAAATGAATCTTTCCATAAAATTCAGCCAGCCAATCTCATTTTTTTGCTAGTACATCCACAGCATGATAACCCAAAAAACAGGAACTAAGAGGCAGAGACTTCATAAATGTTTGCTAACATTTCTATACCACAGATATTCTGCACCACTTACAGTTCTTCTATAACATCACCAGCAGTCAGCATCAGCACTTACTGGCTGCTTACAGGAGTCTTAGGACACAAGAAGTTAGCTCCTGAACAAAAACCGAAACAAATAACAAAACCTAATTTAAAAAATAAACTGGCCATTTTCTCAGGCATGAACACTTTATGAATGCATACAGGTAGATATACTGGAAACCATCACCAAGATACAAATTATGAGGGGAAAGCTTTATTTTGTGTCGCACTAGGCACACTCTAATTTAATATCAGAATCGTCACCCAGAGTAATACATGTAAGGCCAGGTTTTGCATGTGCATTTCCACTCATGCTACTTAAGTTACATCAGTAATAGAATTCAAGGACAGAAGCTGGGGGGAATGAATGACACATTGCATTAAGAAGTCTAGTTCATGTACAAAAAAGGAATAATGAAGGAAGGTCCAACTCTCTTAAATTTTCCTGAATCCAAAATGGGAAGAGCAGCCCTACACAGAAACCCGTCCTCTGGGGCAAGAGGGAGGAACTGTAGGATCTGCCTGGTTAGAAGCGGTTACACATTCACACTGCAGCAAGAGGAATTTTAAGAAAATGCACATTTAACCTTTCGGCTGCAAATTCAGTTCAGGGAAGGATTACTCTGACCCACAGTCACTTTTGTTTATTCTGTCCTTCACTGCAGAACCTGATGGTTTTTTGTTAGTTGAGCACTAGGGTGCCGATCTGGAAGAGCAGTTTCACCTTCACATAGCTTTAATGCCACTAGCAATTAAATTCTAGTCTAGAAAACACCAACAGAATATGTTTCATTTCATCATGTCCTTAAACTTTCTGCTACTTACGAACCTAAATTCATTTCTGTGAACACACTTGGCAAACACAGCTTGGCACCAGGTTGCTCCATTCACAGACCAGACAACTTCCAAGGCAGCCAATTTTCAAAGCGTCCAGTTTAACAAGCAAGATGAGCATTACGGATTATCATTTGGTTCACTTTACCAACCACTCCCAGTCCCCAAGTGCTGGTATAGCGGCTTGGTTTTGCTACTTGGTTGCATAGTAATTTATACTGAAATAGACTCTGTATTCAGCATTTTTTTGACTGGATGTCTAGAAGAGGATAAGTGTCTTAAAAGTGTCTTGAAGTGAATTTGCTGCCGTTGAGGTTGCTTAACACTTCCCTCTTTCTGCTGGAGCTTAACACATGAATGCTCACAAAAGACAGCCGTTTCACTGGTTCTTCAGTTCAAATATAATGAAAAGTTAACCAACTACTCATAATCTTAGAAGGTTTCTTCTAGTATTTTAGTTACTTAGATTTGCTATTAATTTTTGTCAAAAAAAAAATCAACAAAAAACAACAAAAAATCCCCCAAACCCAGCCTACCACTGTACTCAGTATTTTAGTATTTTTGCTATGTGCGAGTAACTGAGAAACCTGTTAAACCCTTTGGAATAATGCAGTAACTTAAGGCCACACAGTGAACTTGCATTTTGCTGTTTCTGCATCTCCTGAACACTTCGTTCTGTACAGTGGAGCTAAGTTTACAGTGTATATCTTTCCTATCCTCCAGCAGCCCTATATCTCCTGAATACACATGCACACACAGTTAAGGACTGTGTGTGCATGTGTATTCATTCCCCATGTGTATTCATTCCCCAAACATTCCCCACCCCCCACTGACTTCTCTGAAAGCTGTTTCAGCTCCCAAAGTGATTTTATTTAATTTCTCTCTCTTTCTCAGTAAAAGCTTCAGGATATAGTTCAACACCCAACTTTACTTGCTTTGAGTACTAGCTTGCTATGAAAGTAAATCCTTTGATACCATGGTCATCACCTTATGAGACAGAAGTACTACTCCTTTTGTAAAAAGCTGATTACACATACCTATGGCAGTTACCAGCTCCTTTAGTTACATCAAAAAGATCCTGCAGTTACCCTGAGCTCCATCACACTTTTTTTGCAACTAACAATATCCTTCTACAAGGCTATGCAAGTGGGAGGAGAGGGTTTCACTTCCAGTTGTACAATTTGACCCAACAACGAATTAAAAAATATTTTCTAGCTCTTACTGGATGCAAGTGAAATTCCACGCAATCTGCAGAGTTGGAAAATCTAAACAGAAACCTCCAGTTTCTCCTAAAACTCAACCTACTAGAAGTTAGTTTAATACCTAGACCTTACGTTGTTTCTTTGGTCCATGTCTACTTTGTAGCTTCTGTCTCTTTCAAGGAAACAATTGCTTTTAAGATGTCTCTCTGAAATGATCACTTGTGTGCAGAATTATCACATGTCTGAAGAACTACAATATAACTAAATCTTCAGTGGATTATCAAAGTAAATGCTTGGCTAATGTGGTAGCTCTCAGAGATACACTACAGTGAGTTAGCCCCAAGACATCTATAGTCAAAAAAATAAGCTGACAAAAAAATTAGACAAATTTTCAGAATGTAGAGCTCCACTCAGAATTCATCTTTTTCCCACCTCAAAACACGTAGGGATCCAGAGGGTATTTTTCCTCTTTTTCTTCTGAATAATACTTTAAAGAATCCTACAGATAGGAAGAAACTTAGAATATAGAAGATGGTCACTGAAATTTTGTAATCACTTTCTTCTTATACAGTTGACACCAAGCACCTATAAAGAAAAACACTCCCATTAACAGATTATTTTATTTCTTTCAGCACACACAGAAAAGGCATCACCTAAGCCTCCTCCAGCTGACAAATCAACATCTAAAAGGTCATCCAAAAATGAGGAAAAGAAGCCAGAGGAAGTAACACAGACCCATGAAGTTATGGAAGGTAGGAAGGCACATGAATGAAACAGGATGGGTGTTACCTGAAGGAATATGAAAGACCATTTTCCTGCTCTGGAAATAGAAAGCCAATGTGAGACATTACCAGACAGTTACCAAGCTTGGAACCGCTCAGTTTATAAACTAATTACCTCACCTAGACCTCAGGATGCTGACTTTGGAGAGTTCACTTAACACAGATGTTGGAGTGCAGTGATGTCTCCTGTGTATCCATTGGATTTTCACACACATCTTCCAAAAATACGTTACATGCCATTGTCAGTTTTGGACCAAGTCCATGGCTGGAACAGGAAGGGTGTTGTATTTTGGGACAGTGATGAATTGGCAGGACCAGGACAGGAAAGTCTCCAGCAGGTTTCTCCAGCTTTAATCAAGCTAGGCCTCGTGCAGCTTCAGAAAACACATATAGTTTATTTTTTTCTGAAGGAAAATATGTTGCTTTCCTGTGTTTGATATTCTGTTCTAGCATTTTAAGTGATAACTTGGGAGATAAGTTTGAACTTGAAACTTGAAGTAACAAGTATATAATGAGACTAGAAGTCAATTTTGGACAATATTTTAATCCTTACATTTTTTAATTTTTATTTTGAGTACTTACCTTTCTGCTGTGGCAATTTCCTATTACAAAAATCAATATAGTGGTTCAAATGAAACAAAATTAAGGAAATTCAAATAACCATTAACAGGATCCCACTTGGCTTATGGTATTTCAGACACATTGGGTAGGAGGAAAACCCATTCTGTAACGCTCTGCTCATACTGCACTGTTTCTACAATACGTTTACACAGGGATTATTTCTCACACTGCAGTATTATAAGTTCTTCCAGTGTGCTGGGAGAGACACTGCATCAGTGCTGCTAACAGTCATCAGGCTGTGACCATCAGCAATAGCTCAGGTCTTTTTAGATTTTTAGATTTGTTGAAAAGCTGAACAACATGGCCCCAAACCACATGATGCTGTGCTTGTTTTTTTCAGGTTTTCAAGAAACAAATGCCAAGTCAGTTGTAGTGGTAGAACGCAA